GTGTAATTTTCAATAGTGACCAATTAAAAATTGATAAAGCGTTGATTTTAGTATTTTCAATCGATTGGCTTGTTTAGAATTAAAATCCATCCGCTATTGACAGAGTTAGAAGTGGTCAAAACCTGACCACTTTTCGTAACGCGGTCGATTTTGGTTTCTTGAAATTGTATCCCCAAACAGTGCGCAAAACAGTCAGGTTCAATAAGTAATTTTCATTCACTGCCTCGTGAGAGTCTGAATGATTGAGAGGTAAATGAGTCACTGACAACCGAGCACTCAGTCAGTAGCATTATCAGCCCGTTTATTCTTGCGTGATGGTACCCAATACTTGTTTTGTATGACTGAGCGTACATTTTCTATGGAAAAATGCCACATACTATGTGAGCTAAGGCAAGCGGTGTGAGTCGGCTGTTCGTGAGTGACTGAATGTGTTTGTTGGATAGTGCAGTGTTGCCGAAAAACGTAATCCCACGAGAAGGAAGAGTTATATATCAATAGCGGATACTTCCATCGTTAAATTGGTAACATTCCGCCACCTGGCCTGATCCGTAAGCCCTACTCGGAAACGCTGTGTATTCTCGTGAAATCACAATAACACCTCGACGATGAACCGATCCACACCCGAATCACCAACAATTTTTCGCTGCACACAGAGTAAATATTTACGATTTTTTGACAACACTCAGGTAATCATGACAGATCCTGATGCAGTAGGTCTTGTTTTCTCACCGCTCTCAGGGAGAGCCGACATATCGGAGGTGAACAGGTTGAATATAATGGGGCCAAGGATGCTTCCTTGTGGAACCCCCGGCACCGATGTTGAAAGCATCCGATGTGATGTCATTCAGAGAGACTTGGAACGTCCTGTCCGATAGATAGTTGTTAATTATCTTCACTAGGAAAATTGGAAGACCGTGCTGCTGCAATTTGAAGACCAGGCCATCATGCCAGACATTGTCGAACGCTTTTTCAACGTCCAACAACGCCATGGCAGATGTTTTCGAAACAGACTTGTTCCGTCTGAGAATGTTTGTTACTCGAGTCAGCTGGTGGACGGTCGAACGACCTTTCCGAAAACCAAACTGTTTCTTGAGTAAGAAGTTGTTTTCTTCGGCAGATGTTAGGAGCCGGTGATTGAGTGCTCTTTCGAACAGTTTTGATAACCCTGAGAGAAGGCTGATTGGTCGATAACTTGAAGGAGAGGACGGATCCTTCCCAGGTTTCCGGATGGGTATGACTTTAGCTGACCTCCAACACGAAGGGAAGAGTAGCCAAGTCGAAGGCATAGATTAAAAATCAATGCCAGATGGTTGTAGAATGTGGAACTCAAGTGTTTGAGTTCCAGATTCAGGATGTTGTCGAAACCTGGGGCCTTCATGTTTTTAGATGATTTGATATAGGCCATCAGTTCGTCAGCCGTAATGTCGGATTCCTCGGGAAAAGTATTAGGAATCTGATGGAAGTTAGTTGCGTTTTCAGCAACCTCAGCTTCGTGAGGGCTGACGATGTTTTGTCCTAGATTATGGGAGCTGACGAAGTGTTGACCTATCGCGGCAGCCTTCTAAAGCAACTGTAAACTCTAGAGGGAATTTATATCTGTAGCTGTAACCAGTCCGATTTTGTATGCAAACCTGGTTAAAATGTCATGTTTAATTATCTTAAAGATAAATCGTCCAGCTCAAACCTATGAATCTACCGGGAAAAATCCATGCTGGTCAGTTGAAATGTAGTTCTTCGAGCGATTCAGGACAAATTCGCTCAAGATGATCTCAAACAGTTTGGACGCTGCCGAAAGACTGGTGATACCTTGATAGTTGATTGCTCAAAGGATGCATTAAATATGGCTGATAAAGGTTCTGCTAAGGCAGCTGAGCAACGGCAGAACACCACTGCCGAAATTCCATCTGGACCAGGAGAGAGTGAGGTTTTCAGTCTCCTTGCTGCTGAAAGTACCATATCCCGAGTTACTTCGAAAGTGCTCAGTTCCACTAAGTCACTGGGTGTATCAGAGGCAGCAAATTCAGCTTCAACGACACTTGTCATATTTTTATCGAAGACAGATGCAAAGTGTTTAGCAAACATCTCACACGCTTCGCAAAGAGAAGCGGACTCTTTCCCATCGAGTAGCATGTTGGACGGTATACTCGAATCATTCCTTTTGATGTGGACAAAGCTCCAAAAATTTCCGGGGGTTACGCCGCAAATTCCACTGGACTCTGAGGACGTGTGATTTGTACAAGGCACTGTTAAGTTTAATGTGAGCGATACTGGCACGCTTGAAGTCGCGCTTCGTGTCAGCTGTTCTGTGACGACGTAGTTTTCTCTGGACTGCGTTAAGCTCACGCTTCAGCACTCTAAGCTGAGGAGTACTCCAAGCTGGGGAAATTGATCGTCTTTTGAGACGAACATCTGATTCCAACCAATGTTGAATAATGTTACAGAAACGCACAGTCATAGCATTCAAACACATCGACCCAGTCTTAATCAAAAAGATACTGCAGTAATGACACATAATCAATTTTCTTGAACTCTAGAAGCCCTGCCGTATCATCCACGTTGCAAGCTGGGTGAGATGGCCAGTCAAATGGAGCAGGTAGCGACATAATTAAGGAAGGATGGTGAGCATCAATAGGTAAAAGCGGCACAGCGGATTCGTCAATATCGAAATCATTTTTACCGTTGCAAAATACCAAATACATCGTGCGGCTACAAGTTCATTTCGGACTGTATTGTGTTGACTGAGATTAACGAAATCCATTCCATCAACGAGAGCAATACTTGCAGCGGTTAGTGAAGATGTTTCGGTGAGGTATAATCGCCACAAACAAGAATCTTATCATCACAAGATGCCTTGTCGCACAACTCTTTGACTGAGGCAATATGCGCTTCCATAACTTCGACGTCGCCACTTCGGTCGAGTGGGATGTACATAGCGCATAAATATAGACTATAGCCATGTAAGTCCAGTGATACTCAGACTTGTTCAAGTCTAGTAGTAACATGTAATGTATTGAAAATGTCGGCAGGATTGGACCTCGGAGAGACTTCACTGGACTTGTCAACGAAATACATGAGAGGAAGAGGTTCAAGAGAGAAGAATGTTAGCCTCACATCACCAATTTTGATTGACGGCGATGAAATCGAGGTGATCGACGAGTTCACTGGTGACGGCACAAGCAGATAAATTCAAAGACGCTCTGGTCGACTGTCTACAACATGCTGATTAGACCGGTAGTCCGATTCGGTCATAAAACCCGACCTGTGCTCGTGGAGGATCAACGCACCCTTGGTGTTTTCGAAAAGAAGCTGTTGCGTAGACGGAAGATGGAACGTGGATGAGGCGAATGATGGGTGCTGGGAAAATCACCCATTGTCCAAATCTGCAACCCGATAGAATTGGTTCTCGAAAACGACCCAACTGGAACTAGGTGATCTGTGAAACTCCCCAAACATCGAGACTGGCGACATGCAGTCATGGAACGGCTGGAATGGAGACGACGTCCATGTACGGCAAAGGACAACCCAGCCTTAGCTTGAATGGTAAGCTAAGTAAAGGGAATTGAAGCACACTTCCGGAACTCTTTATATCTTGTCATGTATAGAGCTTTTACCAAGCTGCACTGTTTTCGATGCTCGTTCAAAACAACGGAAACTACTAACAAATCATCCTCAAATGACCATAATTCAAATTAATTACCCAGTATTCGGTTTAAATCTGCTGCAACTTTTTTTTGCTTCCACGAAGGGGAAATGACGGCTTCGTCAATTCCTTGGCCTATTACCGTCTGCGAGTCTGTAAAGATTCATCAAGGGCATCGTTTAGCAAAAAAATGGCACTCAAGGATTCAACCCCTTTGACGATGATAAATAAAATATTTGACTAAGACGCAAATCACCCTATAAGCTTTCAGTGTGATAGCAAAACCATAAAGGAGGGAAAACGTCGTATAAAGAAACAGCTTTAGAAGCCTGTGCGATCGTGAAATATGATGCCGGGTTTTTATGACTGTTTTATTTTTCTTATACCTTAGAAAGGTTTATAATCCACTAGTAAAATATCAATTCTGCGCTTATTTTAAATGCCGAGAATAGCCGAGAAAGACAACTGACTTCCCAGAAAAGTAATTTATAAATTCCGGACTTGCAGCGACTGTTTTTAGAATACCTATTTAAATTCCAATAAGTAAGAAAGGCAGAATCTCACCAGTGGTTGACTCACTCAGGATTTTAAAAGAGCTGTGGTTTGCCATATGTTTGGTGGTCTTTGGATGAGCACTTGAAAGGAAGTGCATTTCATAAGGCTTTCCCCCCTCGCGTATCCTTAGACAAGCGTAACTGGAGAATAATCGGCACGGTGCTGGCTGGGGGTGATATTATTTGGGTTATGATTTACCACCTTCGAAAGGCCAAGGGAGGAGAAGCCTTCCAACGCGCGTATCGAATGACCTACTTGGAAGAGTGCTCTACAGAGAAGGGGATGTTTGTGCTCTGATTTAAAATCGTGTTCTACCACCCAGGTCAGGTGGCATGTGGAGCAAGCACGAATTATTATGCATCGACAGTGCTGAATAATCGAATCACAATCGTTCCAGTTTCAAGTTGTGAGCCGCAGGGTAAATCAAAACAAGTTGATCGAACCCAAACGATTGAGTTCTGTACCAACTGAACAACAACTACAAGCAACGAGCTGATAATGAAGCGCTAGATGCCGTGCTTTTCAATAAATTAGACGTAAACAGAGGCTTGCCTGGCCTGTTCCTGTGAAAGCAATAATGGAACGACGCTACGCATAAACAACGCTGTAATGAAACCAGAAGACAAACAAGCCACTTCTCCCACCTCCCACCCTTATTGATAATCGTAATAATTGTAGTGCTATTCGACACAAAGAGGATAAGGAACGTAATCAAATGCTTGGCCCCCATGAGCTTGTTGATTGTTCTTATTACACTTTCAAGAACGCTCCGGAATGGTGAAAAATAGTTAAATTGTATGCGTACCTTAAACTAGTATCCTCCTTAAGCAACTCATATTTCCCTTGCTGTTTGGACATTCTCTGTCCGGTTCGTTTCGTTCCAGCTGCTATCATAGTGGTGGCAATGGAAGCATATTTCCTCCGACTGTCGGAAAGTTGAAATATTCCGCCCCCTGCTCTGTTCGGCGGTGCTGGTTAAACACTATTTTGAATACACTGCGATGTTCTCGAAGTTGCTGGAACCGATCGTTCCAATCCCAAAAGCTCTCTCCGACGCTTGGGATGAATAAATTTACATAATATTGTTATTTCTCAAGCTGCTACAACAACAACGACGGAAAGCACAGAAACATTTTACACACATATTTTAATCCCTTTTACAGAGCAGCTCGCCACCACCAGACCCGATATCACACTCTACACCGACCACAACAACAACGCTATTCGCTAATCACGCGATTGGGGCTGAGCCCCTGTCGCTTTGCTATTGCTGGCAGCTAGCACCGCACTATTTGCTTTGCTCTCTTTGTGACCTGTGACGACGACGACGAATGCCAATCGGTTGGTCGGACGGACGATGGTCACTTTCGATTTTTTTTCCTCCCCCTCAACTATTTCGCACTTGACAAAACCCAGCTGGGACGGAACCTACTCGCCGAGGTTAATCCAATTATGATCACGGTAATTTGCTCTTTCGAAAACACACCTTGTTGCGGAATGCTTTAATCTTTTCATCGACAATCAAAAAATCTACGGTAGCACTAATCACCTGACAATAGATACCGAATACACACCAATTCTGCTGCGAAAAACACAAAATTCCGACACGGAAATGAAACTTCCCCTCGGATCGGTTGGTCAGAACTTCGCACCAAGCAGAATTCCCGACGATTCGAACTTTTACCTTGGACGAAAGTTGAAAACAGACTGAACTGAACACGGAATGATTTCGAGGAGAATGAATCCTGAATTTGACAGCTCTCTTCGTCTGTTGACTGTTTTTCTATCGCAGATTTTCCTTTGTGTGTTTTATTCTACACATTGCACGCACACATCCACGTTCGGGGACTGAACACTCGGAAGAAAATGCATCGGTATTTGAAGTTCATTCTTTGTTTTTGTGATTCATTCCTCGGTGCGTTCATTCTTAAACGGTGCGGTAAAACTAGGGTGTCTCCGAAATGTTTATGTTTCTGAATATTGTGCTCCTTGTTAAATAAATTACATTATTCTATTCTAACAAAAAAAAACATAGAACTACAGATAAACAGACGTAATTCTTCAAATAAACTGTCCTTAAATATATCGTCACTAACGACATCTGGCAGCCATTGTTCGAAAAAACTCAAAAACTCAAACCTCATGTATGAGTTTATGCCTTGCAAAATTCGACATCCCGAGAATCACCGATGATTTTTCAGGTTCAAAAATTGATTTCTTTTATGTTGGCGCTATTAATTGCTATTTCTATTGTTTATAAGAAAGTTTGAACATACTGAGAGGTAAGCACATATCATCGGTAAGAAACGTGTGTGTGTGAGAAAATATGCGAAAAAATCTAAGGGCACCGGTGGGATTCGAACCAACAATTCCCATTCAGTACACGGGTGCATTGCCAATTTTACAACGGTGGACCTATATGGTCTACGGATGTATTTGGCTAATGGCATTTAGGCTTCGAATCCGTTTCCCACCCTAGTCTTTTTGCGATTTTTATCGGTCACATCTCTTATATAGGGTAACATCTCTAAAAGTATCATGACAGGTAACGATGACAGCCGTTTGTTTATAAGAAAGCAACGTCGTGAAATCTTAACCAACAATTCAAAAAGGTGGATCAGCTTTTGTAATCAAATCTTGGCATGCTCTTTTCTCGCAAATCGAAACTCGTCTTGCCAAATCAACAACACCGCCGGCTAGGGAAAATTCTCTCCTATCCGACGGTGTGCGTAGGCGTGCTTCAGTTTGCAAGATAAGGTCATTACAAGTTTGCTGATCCACCCTTTAGTATTGTTGGTTGATAAATTTGTTCGAAAATCGTTTGCCAAATTGCCCGAATCATCGTGATGTCATGGATTCCTTTGCAACATATCGGGTGAGATCTTTCCTTTATTTTTTTTTCGTAATCCCATTTTATTGTTAGTCATGTTAGTTATACATCACACTTTACACTTTACATTTACATCCTTACATTATTAGTAATTAGAGATAAAAATATATATTTGCTTAATATAACCTTGAAATTTCAGTGTTACATCCACTTGATATTGTGAGCTGAGTAAACATAGAGCTGCATCTTATTATATGTAAAATAATTATTTTCATTGCAGAATATCAACTATTTTATCTATATAAATTTATATTCATTATTTCATATATAATGTTTTGATATATTTCATTTCTCCACTACATATATTTTCATTATATAAATAAATACTGGGTTGAGAGGGAGCATCAGGGTATCATTTGACCTGGGACTGGACGATGGAGTGGTATGACAACCGGAGTCTTGGAGGGAATAAACACTATCATTTTCTTTATCCTACCGAATCGATTGTGGTGGTGTGAATTCTACTTCAACAGTTTCAGTGAGATTGATGCGCCCTTCTTTACAAACCATCCTGTAGGAAGCTTAATAAGTATTGCGAATTGTGTTATTCGATTTTTTGGATCGTATCGTTGGAAGGAGATTCTTAAATTCCCGTGGGTTTCGTGTAAGTGTCTCTGCTTACGGGTCCGCACCTCCGTTTTTGGCCCTTCATACAGCGATATTGTGAGTTCAGATCGGTAGCTCAAATTGATCTTGCCATTAAGTGGAGCTGCATACAAGACAAGATCTTTGAAGGGATGGTGGCTACCTTACATACATACATACATACAAATCGTTTGCCAAATTGCCCGATGATGGCTGAGATGCCCTTCACTAAGTTTATTTCATCCGATTCGTAGCAAAAATCCCAGCGGCTCGAGGTTTCGTCCAGAATAGCTTCATGCCAACAGAGTCCTTCCACACCATGGTCGGTCGAGAGGGTCGATACGACAGTCAAGATGGCCAAAATGGGTTCCCTCCAGCAACGGTTTGTCAAATGCCTGTAAGATCGTCCAATACGACGGTACGGTGTGGAATGCGATCGGCGAACTGAATGGACAAAAATCCTCTGAACGACGACAATATTGTGCCAGCTGCGGAGGATTTTTGTTTTGTTTTACAAGTTTGTTATGCAGAACGAACGATAAAGAAAAAAAAAAACACATCATAGGGGCTGTGGGTGATGGGTTTTTTGTATTTCGGCCAAGTTTAAATCCCGTTCTTGCCAAGGGTCTTCCGGGATGAAAATTTAATGGTTTTCTCCTACGTTTTTCCTTAGGTATCCTTGCCAGTCATTGGTTTCAATTGCTATGGACTATGGACGGTAGGAAATTCACAGGACTTTATAGGGATGTCCATACAAGTCCCAGTTGAGTGATGTCGATACGTATTAAAGGGCGAACACGAAATTATTGCGACACCGAAAATGTCATGCCAATTTTCTTATAATGTTTAGAATCAAACCAAAATTTTAGGGTAGTTTTATACATATATTTACTTCAAAAATCAAAAGAAAAGTTAATCGATGGAGCCTTGAGTGTAAAATTGAACGCATTTTCGCTTGATGCCCTCCATCAAAGTCTTTACAGTGTCATCCGGTACCAGTTTCTCAGTTTTTTTCCATTTTCTTAACATGTCATTCTCGTCTTTGACTGTCTTCTTGCTCTTCCGAAGTTCCCGCTTCATTATTGCCCAGTACTGCTCCACCGGGCGCAGCTCCGGACAGTTTGGCGGATTCATGTCCTTTGGAACAAAATGGACAGAATTGGCCTCATACCACTCCAGGACACTTTTAGAATAGTGGCATGATGCCAAATCTGGCCAAAATAGCGGAGCTTCGTCGTGCTGCTGCAAGAACGGCAAAAGGCGCTTCTCGAGGCACTCAGATTTGTAGATCTCGCCATTTACTGTGCCCTTTGTCACGAAAGGCTCACTCTTCAGTCCGCAAGAGCAGATGGCCTGCCAAATGAGATATTTGGAGGCGAACTTCGACATTTTCTTCTTCTTAAATTTGTCGTCCACATCGAACTTGCTCTTGCCGGTGAAAAACTCCAACCCCGGAATTTGCTTAAAATTGGCTTTTATATACGTTTCGTCGTCCATCACACAGCAGCCATATTTTGTCAGCATCTTCTCGTAGAGCTTCCGTGCCCGAGTTTTAGCCGTCGATTGTTGCCGCTCATCGCGGTTTGGGAAGTTCTGTACCTTGTATGTATGTAGTCCAGCTCTCTTCTTTGCATTCTGGACGTAGCTCTGCGACATGCCGATCTTTTTAGCCAAATCACGGCTTGAGACGTTGGGATTTGCTTTAATCATCCGCTTCACCTTTCCCTCCGTCTTTTTGTTCTCCGGTCCCGGTTTTTTTTTCCAGCTCCTTTGCCGTGGTCCAACGTCAACCGCTCCTGGAACCGCTTCAACACTCTGGAGACGGTTGATTGGTGAATGTTCAACATTTTTCCCAACTGCCGGTGCGACAGGTCAGGAAATTCCAGGTGTTTGGAAAGAATTTGTTCTCTCAACTCGCGTTGGTTCACCTCCATTTTCGTTGAATCGAAAAACACGACTTCGAGTTTGACAGCATGTACACAATACACATCAATGAGAAAGTGTGCAAAATTTGGTTGATTTTTACCCAATGGTAAAAAAGTTATGCCCTGTTGAATGTGTCGCAATAATTTCGTGTTCGCCCTTTAACTCCAAATATTCCATCAGGTCTGGACGATTGCCTCAGCGAAACAGTATAGGATTTATAGGAACAGATCAGTGCAATCAAAAAAGCAATTACATCCTATTCCATGAGTACACCCCATCATCAACGATCCAATCTGCACTCTTCTGTTGCACTAGTTCGTCTCAAAAGGATTCGGTGCGATGGGTGGTCTACCAATCAATCAATTCCAAGGCCTTGCTCAATCTCGAAAGCAGTAAATTGCTGTTCGGCAAGATCCCATGACAGCTATGACAGATATGCAGTGGGGGAACATTAGATTTTTTTCACTGGTGGTACATTGGCCATTGGTTTTGATTGGTGGTACCTTGTGGAAGGTATCACATCTGCCAAGGATCGTGAACTTGATAGGCTTGAACGTGAGTAATTGGGTGATGGTAGGATACATCACAATCTGCGATACGATTGGCTTGAGTGATGTCTTCGAGGTTGTGTAGTTCTGAGTCGATCAGAACTGATTCGAGAATGTTGTTTCTAGGGTTCGCCCGTTCGAGTTCTGGGTTTGATTTTGTTGGGGAGCATTTTACTGGCAGCTGGTGAAAATTTCGTCCACCGTCCGTTTTTTGTGGACGGGTCGTATAGGTTGTATTGCTTCCAATTCCTTTTCCACTGCCAAATTCGCTCTCATTCTAATGTAATAATATTTGCCGTGAACCATGGTCATGAATTAGATAAATTGAAAATGTAAACACAATCACAAAAGTCTAACTTCAGGGTTGCCAAACTCATGGGATATTGACACCTTGATTGATACACTTCAAGCCTACTTCGGAATGATCGGCACAACGCTTTACACAGCTTTGGGCACTGCCAAAACTCTTGGCACAGATTAAGGTGTGCAGAGTTGAATACCCCTTGCAAAACACAGACTCCTCAGTATTTGATATTTTTGATTCCTTGTTTCTTTCCAAAAAGCTTCCTCTTCATCAGAGCCCAATACCTCTCGATTGATCGTAAATCTGGAAAACTTGGCGGATTTGCGGTTTTTGGTACAATATTCACTTGATTTCCTTTGTTAGTTTCCACAGGTTGGTACCACTCCATCACAGTTTTAGTATAATGGCATGATGCCAAATCGGGCCAGAACAAAGGGTTTTCTTTGTGATTTTTGATG